AATTGTATCATTTTGTTTATATAGGAATGTTAATTGAAATATCTCGTGTAAAGTCCTTAAGGTTATTTCTGTAAAAATTGATATCATCAAGAATTCATGTGGCGTAAGTACAATTTTCCGCTTTTCCTCTCTTTTTTGTTTTAGTTTTTCTCGATTATTTAGAATAATACGAGGTCATTTTTACTTTTGATCACCTACCAGTAGGTGCTAATTTTATCGAATTTTCAATCTCTATGATAATTTGAGGTTACTCTATTGTTATAGGTATACGGAATATGGTATACCTACTCATCTACCACTATAAGGTAGATAGTTATATGATATTATAAATTGCAACATTTTATGAACGTAGGATGCGTTGAACTTTACAGTTTTGGAAATTTGAAAATTGATTGAATGGTTTCAGTCGACATTAGATGAAAAAAGTCTATTTCTAATTTTATTTTAAAAATCAAATCCTGAAAAAACCACTTAACTTTTGGTATAGGTAACAACAACATTTTTTTGGTATATTTTAAATCTTATGTTCACTTTAGATATATCTCCATACGTATAACATCATAAGTAAAATAAATAAAACACAACTTATTAAAAGCTTGTTATAAAATTTAATAAATAATGTGTACTGTGTAGTGGTTTTGAATATTTAAATTAATATGCAATAATAATGAAGTATTCGAACTTTGTTTTGTACCTATGAGCTGTAGGTGGCAACTATAGGCTTATAACCGTATACTAATAATTAATAAACTATTATGTAAATAATTGTGGTTTTGATTCTCTATTTAGTTAGGTGAATAAATTATAGATTATAACTTGTTTAAAAATTTTGAAAGAATTCCAATACCATTTTTATACAATTAATTAAACTAGCAATATCTGTGATACTAGAATTTGGGGCTTATATAACACGGCGATGTTCAGTGTCGTCGTGATCCAGTTATTAAACTATTACCAACTATTTAATCAAGTTTCTAAAATCTTCATCATTATAATTTATTTTAGTTACACTATTACTTGTATGTATCCAGTTCTTGGATTCGAAAAAATTAAGTAGTGGAGCTCATTTAACGATTTAAAAACTGTTCATATTGTAACATTAACACAGCCTCGTGGGGATCAGTCTCCAAATAAATTAAATATTCATTTAGACTTCAATAAGTTTGTTCCTTATAATATGCGTTTTATTACTTTTGAGTGCTTAATATTTTTTGAAAATTGAACAAAATATAGATACAATTACATTAAGATTTAAGAGGATTCCAAACACCCGTATATATTGTGTTGTGTGTCTTATACGCGTAATAGCTAATCTATTTATTCTACTACAGTTTATTTACAGTTAATAGTAGAGGCAATTTACTTATTATCGAACTTGCATAGAGAAGAACATTAACTGTGCCTAGAAAACACTTTTAGATTCTGAGCGGAGCGATGAATGTATTTACTTTACTATGATGTTTGGTTTCTTTAATTTTTTTAATTTTTTGTGTCTGTATAGACGATAATAATGCTTATATTTTTTAATTCTTTATCTCTTGCTTTCAGAAAGTGAATTTAGTTGGTTTATTAGGGAGGTAGAAATTTAAAATTCCCAATATTTTCTAAAAACGGCGGGAAAAACAAAAAATTAAAATTAATTAAAAATTGGAATTTTTACGCAAAATTGGATTTTGGTTTTCGGTCTAGCTCTAAAAAAATTACCGTAGATACATGCATTTTTCACTGAATGTTTATTTCAGCATTTTATATACATCATACAATTTTCAAAATATTTTGACCCATGTGGTGCTATTTATAGGCATATGCAATTTTCGATTGTTATTAGTTTTTTTTTATTACCTAATAGATAAAAAAAAGTTCGCACTTGTCAAGTTTTGTAAATGTAATACATGATTCCCCATAAGTTATTGCCTTAAGTGTCTTAGTAAAAAAAAATGTGTACCGGAAAGTCAAATTACATTTTTTGGAGCGTTTGCAGTTCAAAATTTTAACTTTATTGGATATTCATTAGATTTTTCAATCAGTAATTTTCTTATTTTGTTAAAATTCAAAAACGAATAACCGTAGAAACTTGAAATTTACTAATTTTTCGTTTACTATATTTTATACAATTTTCAAAATATTTTTAATTGCTTGGAGTTGTTTACGGACATTTTAAATCTTCAATTTTTTTAGTTTTTTTTTTCTATAAATGTTTTTACAATTTTATTCGTTGGGTCAAAAAGATTAATTATTTTATATACGACTCCTCACACATTGTTACTATATAAGTTAGGGTGACAGACCGTCTTCGCTCAGAATTGTTTTTCGTATACAATAATTTTAATCATTGGATTTAAATTTATCACCATCCATTACAGCGACCCTCTTGTAACCAAATTTACAGTAGCACAGTATCCGATTTTTTCATATTTCTATTTTAAATGAGTTTTAAGTGCCTAAATAATTAATTTTTTCAAATGTATAGGTATAACCATCGTTTTAAAAGTAATTTCCAAAAAAATTGCATTCGGGCACAGTTTATATTCTTTTCTACGAATTCGTTGAATGTAAATTTGCTCTTATATATTAATAATTAATAAACTGTAGTAAGATTGTAAGAATCACTAACTTTTTTTATTAGTTTTGGTCTTGTTTTCATTATAAATTATAATAATGATAGTAATTAAAAATTTATCAAACTAAATATGAATATCTTATCAAATTATTAAAATAAAATGAATAAAAACATGTTGAAAAATCATTTTATTTAGAACAACTTCCCAATGAAAATAATTTATAGTATAGCGATCTCAAAATATAAAAAAAAAGTATTAAAGAGTTTATTTGTGCTCCCTGTTTCCAATTCGAGCACTGTAAGATATATTTTTAAATCATTAATTTTCTAACGTATTTTCAAGTATAATTGTTGGCATAACTTAAATAAATATAATTCGATATTTTTATTATCTTACTTACTTGATTAAGATAAAGATAAATAAAAAATCTACAGTTATTACAATTTAAAATTTTACAATAATTTCAGTTATACCTTTATAGAATATAAATTTTCGTTTAGGAAAATTCTAATTTTTTATTTATAGTTCTTTTATTCTTACGAATTTCAAACCGTAAATATAAATAATTTAAAATATATATTTACATGTATTATGTTTACAGTTAAAGCTCAATTGAAAATTTTTTTATATTTGTAAATTAAATTAAATTAATATTTCAATATTAAGTTAAAATAATAATTTAACTATCTTTTACTTTTTTTGTCCTCATTATTAATTGTTATTTGTTACTTATTAGTTATTACCAGTTATCTTAAGTTAGATAGTTTTAGTATTGTAGAAATAAAATAACTTGATTAATACATATTTTCAATTTAACTCTTCCTAATACGTAAAGGATTTTAAAATAATTTATTCATTTAAATAGAAATTTTTCAAAATATAATAAAATATATCTAAATTTAAACAGAATATTTGCCTCTTTTTAAATTATTGTGGTACATTAGTCATTAATTTCCGCTCTACCGAGCGTACAGATATTGAACAAAGTGATTTTATTTTTATACAAATTTATAAAATCATGATAAATACAAAATATTATTAATTTTGTACATTTACATACATTTGTTGGCATCAGTAAGTTGTAACAGTTATTTTAAATAATTGAGAAAATTTCCTATAAATACATTGCCCATGACCCGTAAATTTTGAAATTTTATATTGTTTTGTCTTTTCTGGATCAACGAACTTGTGATCATCACTAAAGTTAAATTTTCTCACGCAATTAATAACACACACACTTATGGGACTTTTGCCAAAATTGTGTACGTCGTTCTCTTAAAATGTACTTTGTTGCAACGGCTAATTTGAAAACAATCGTCGCTTGACTTCTTACCGTTACACTTTCTTTTTATTCAATAAAAAAAAACTCCTTATTTGTCGGTTTATTATTTTATGTTTTTATATTTTCACAACGTTCCAGCTTCTAGAACACCTGCAATACCTTATAATAGTGTTGTACTATTAAGGTATACAATTGTACCAAGGACATCTGTGTTGCTAAACCTGATTTAAAAATGGTTAGTGTGAATAACTTTTTAAATTAAGCGTATTATAACACAATTTACATTAAAGTGGTTTGTTTTTGTGATTTTCAATTTTCAGTTAATACTTAATCTAGTTACCTAATGGTAAATAAAATTGTAAAATTGAATATAATTTTTTTGTTACATAAATTAGGTTATAGGTAATAACTGTCTTATTTGTTCCCTTAAAATCTGTTCCATCGGAGATAATTTTTGCTAGTATAAGAATCGCCCTAAAACATTAAGAATTTTTTCCAGCTCGTTATATTTTCAAAGAAACCAATTCGTAATTTATTTATTGGTTATTTAAGTTAAATTTTTTTTTTGTATCAGAGGCATAATACGAATTATTTCATATTTAATAAAATTATTGAATCCAATGACGAAATAATAACACTAATAACCCTCAAAATATGTCTCACGAGCACGGAGCAATTCCAGCTCCATAAGGAGTGAAACACAACCGGTTGAGTCATTGAAGGTTTATTCAACTTTCAAGGTGCATGAGCGAATCATTCAAAATTGCCTTATATGTTTTCTTTTATTAAATTAATTATATTAATATTTTTCTTTTGTTTCTTGTAATATTATCAAATCGTTTTGCGGTACCCTTATGGCTATATTAAAATTAATTATTAATTTATCCTTTGAATGTTATCTTTTGCATAACTCTAGATATTAGATATGTTGTTTATGATATTTTTAAGAAAATAAATTACGAAATATATTTGTATATTGTATAATATGTACATCGATATTGTTATATAATTGTGTATATCTATACCTATATAGTTTTAATAATGATGCGTATTTGTATGCTGTGCATATAAAATGTATTTTGTAATAATATGTAAACATTATTTTAAGCTATGTTATTTCGTTCTTTTTTAATTCTTTAATTTTGATCTGTTGGCAGAGACACAAGAAAAAAATCATGTTGCGAATTAAAAAAGGCTTTTCGGAGCAATTGCTCCAGATGGCATTGCTGTTGAGTCTTATAGGCTGCGATCGTTTATGGCCAACATTCGGGATATGGCCTTCGGCACCTTCGGCTGAAGTAGAAGTAGGACCTTTCGGTCAATGGGATGATGATAGCTACTCAAACGGCTTTGGTCCATTAACGCAAATTCACCCCAAAAGTGTTGATCGATATTTGGATCGCCAATGGCTGTTAAACGAATTACTATCGTTGGGTAGATATGGCGATCGATATCCATCGAACATTGAGGCATATTTACTTAATGTTGACGGCGACGAGAACGGTCGAGACGATCAGCAACAGCAAGACCCCGGTGGTCATGTTGTTAAAACGGAACCTAAAGAAAACGATGATGAAAACAACGACGACGTTGAAGTATTTGACACAGATATTGTTGAAGATGTTTTCATCTTTGCGCCAGAGGTAAGTTTTTTTATTTGTTAAATGTAAATGTAATGTGCAGTCGGCACACTGTCTGTAGCTACATCCAAATTAGGTGTGTTGGTACAGGTACAACTCTTTACCTGTGACTCCTTGTGACTATATATTATATTATTCTTACGTGGTTATGTTTTACTTCTCTCTTTTTATATTTCAGTTTAAGTATATATAATAATATTATTATTATGAATTAATATTGTGTATACTGCTATACATAAAAACTTTATATTTTATATTTGAATTATATTAATTTGTTCAAATTAGGATTTTTGACATTTTTAAATATATTTACTTATACTTATATGCCATATTTTTAGATACTTACATTTTTTGTACCATCAAAGGGGTGTTATTTTTCGATACTAACTTTTTTGTTTAAATATGAACCATCTTTCCATTTTTACTGTAAACTTTTGCACGTGCAGATATGTTCAACAATTGTGGTGTTGGTGCATCTAAATCAAAGTTTGAAGAAGTAGTTTCCGTGTTATTAAACATTATGTAGGTACAAAGATTAAATATAAAATAGATTATATATTACATTGTAGTAATTATAATTCTATGATAACTTTTACAAGAATGAAATTCTATCATATTAGTATAAATGACTAATAATAATTTTCAAACATTCATAGCATCATTACCTTTAACCTATATTAGTCTTATTATAAAAAGATTAATTGAGGAACTATTCGTTTGAATATTGGTTTATATTTTTAAAAACGGCTTAGCAATTTATGGTAAAAAAAGAGTTGTTTCAATTTGAGAACAATACTTTTATATCGACTGAGGACAATCCTTAAATAGTGTAAAAATTTTAAAGTACTTAAAATAATGGTATTAAGGTGTACTTAAAAATTCCATAAATTCGAATTTGAATAAATAAAATTATCAACAGTGGTGAGTTTGGTGAATCACCCCGTATAGTAGGTATAGTAGTATAATACTGAGATTATCAACATGCCACATGAGTTTACGAGAGAGAATTTAAAAATGACTTTTTAAAATTTGACATTACATTTAAGGATTTTAATAAGACGAATATAAAATTATACAATAAAACTTTAAATTTTCAAGAAATACAACAATTTAAATTGTATGATGTACTCTTGTACATCATGATTCAATTACAATATTATTACAGTGTTAATTGATTTAAATATTTAGTTACTAGTACCAAAATATAACTTATATTTTTCAAATAATTTATAAAGCCAGACTAAGTAAGTAATAGGTACTTAGGTATAACGGTATCACCTCAGCGCAAGCGGCATATTAATTATTGTAAATACAAATCAAATAATCTTGATCATTGTACTGAAAAAAACGACGAAGTTTCTACTTATTTATAAAAATTTTATTTTTTAATTTTTCAATTTTATATGTGATAACAATATAAATTATGCATAATTTATGAATAATTATATTTTGAATGTATTGAATATAACAATGATTATAGAAAATCTAAGCAGCCTTGTATTAAATTGGCAAGTCTCTATATATACTTAAGACTATAAATTCTAATAAAAGAAATCTAAAAATATGACGTCATAATATTTTTAAATTCTCCATAATTCATATTCAAAATCTTCGTAAGACAATTTTATTGGTTGTTCTCGATTATACATAATATGTGAATCAGCGTGACAACACTAAACAGGTCACTTATTTGATGCACGACTGATATATTTATATCTGACAAATTACAATAAATTCAATGGCCTGCAGTTAGTATTCATTACGTCTAATACGTTACTCTTCTAAATGTCTAAAGTAGAAAAAATATTTAGCGTGATCGGTTCTAGTTATTTTATTGGTATTATATTGGTACCGAATACCGAATTAAAAATAAAATAACATCCATTTAATTTTATTATTTTAGGGGTGTAATTGAATGTAAGCTTTACAAATTTTGACATATTTAAAAAAAATTCATAATTGGCATATTTTGTTTGTTTTTGTTTTATTAATTTAACATGTTATATAATTACCAAAAGATATTCACTGTACAGTATATTTCAATTGCATTTATCAAGTTGCGTGTAACATATTAAACTTAGAATTGACCAATCTGTTATTCACAGAGTAGAATTTAATGATGTACCTAAATAATATGTATAGATATATAATAAATTATATGCACTGTGTTAAAATAATAATAATAATGAAAATATAATGAAAACTATTGTAAAACACTAGGCCGACTTTAACTATTGATTGAATAACCAATAAACTGTAAGTAAGCAGTTTTTAATAAAGGGTACAAGGAGAGTGATATCATATTGCTCAGTGAATTACTCTGTAAATAAATAAATAATTATTTAATTTTCAATATATTATGTTAGTGATCATTAATAATAAACAATAATTAATCAATTCTACAATAAATTATAATTCTGAAATTATTTTTATTTCTCTTATGCATTAAGTTAATTAATTCATTTTGCTTCAATCCAAATTCAGAATTAATATCGAGTAAGCAATTTATTTGTAGATTTAGACATTTCAACTGATTTGTTCTTACTTATTTAATTACGTCTTCATGTCCTAAAATTCTATAAAGCCTATGGTAATTCGTGTTTTTATTTTTTCGTATTATATAATTTCTTTAATCTTGACAGGTCTAATCATTGTACTATTATTATTAGTTTATTAGTATGGTTGTGTTGTTAATATTCACGTTGACGTACCTGCGCTGGGAGGACTATTCTCTGTCTTTTTTTGATGTCATTATTTATTATCTTTATCACTTAAGCTAATTGTTCTAATTGTAACAGATGGTATAATATAGAATTTTGAGAAAAACAATCTTACCATGAACTGTTAAAAGGTTCCGTAATTATGGCAGCGTAAATTAAATTAAATAAAACTGATGCATTATGCAATACTTTTTAACTATCTATAAGACAAATATAAATTATTACCTATAAGAAAAAATATCTTAAAGAATTGATTTTATAGTAGATTTTTATAGTCTATAGATGAAGTCATACTCCAAAAGTGATTGTCCGTAATCGTTAAATGTTTACTTATTGCGTTTGAATAATAGGAATTACGTAACGCCATCTTTATTATACTCTCAACAACTTACATGTAGTAATGTATATACTCATAGATAGCGCTACCAATATCGATTTCTAATAATATAATTCACATCGGCATGACGTGATATCTCCGTCTTACAAACGCATTTAGCTCAATTATTTTTAATATTAGAGTGAATTAATGTATCATAAATTGTATAACGTATTTAAAGTCTTAAAGGTATAAAAATATCAATTCAGTGTTTCTTATATTTTAATTTTGCAGCTTGTAGTAACCATATAATTATATTATGATGTAAGTACACATTATCCACATTTATTTATATGAAGCCAGCCATGGAGGCATGGAAACAAAATATAAAAAAAATAGTCTCTTCAAGAACGTAACCACTCTGCTGAACATTAAGGCTCAAAAGTATTTTCCAAATTGTCTCCAAAATGAACATTTTACGCAAAATCAAGATTCACAAAATCGATTTTTTTTTGTCATTTAAAAACGAATGGTTAGACTTGAGTTTTGAAACTGTCAACAAATGTTTTTACTTTTATTTTCAATTGACATGGGGGAATTTAAAAAAGATTTTTGCTTAATTTGAACAAAAAAGTAGGTATGTTGTTAAATTAAAAAAAATAATTGAATTTTAAGATTTTATACCTATACTTTGCACATTTTAAACAAGATTTCTCATAATTTTTATTATTAATATTTATAAAAATGCAAAGGTGTAGTTACATTATTTTTTTTTTATAAAAGTTTGAATTTTAGATTTTGATGACATATTAGAAATTCATGAAATATTTTGTAGACATATAGGTATAGGTTGATGTACCGTTTGCTCGGAATCGTTTTTCGCCGTGGGTATCAAGAGGTTCAATAATATATCATTGGATTTAAATTTTAAATTTATGATACCTATAACAGTGACCTATTCAATCGCGAGATGTATTTGATATCTACATACTATAAGACACTATGTATCAGGCCTGAAAGTACTTAATAGTACTTACCTTCTTGATCGCTAAAAAAAAAATATTTTATTAAATATAATGTATAAAATAGAATTATAATGGTTACAAAATTATTTGTCAGACGATTTAGTGATATGGTGAACTTTTATATAAAATATAGTCACACTGCTTATGTCTGAAAACTAGCCGTGTATATATGCAATTATAAGTAAAAATTGGTCAAATATGCACAATATAAATAGTAACATATAAAACAACTCTTTACCTTTTTGTTTTAAAACATTTATATTGTTACTTGGCTGTATATGTTTTAAACTATAACATTAAAGTATCCCGAGATATCTTAGAAGTCTCTCCGTATAATTATCAGTTTTATATGTTAGTTAATTTGATTAATGCAAACGAAAAAAAAAATGTTTAAATAAAAGTACATGATGGTCATATTTCTCATTAAACTCAATTTCAAGTTTCAAAATTTAATATGGTTAATATAAGAGAAATATGTATTTATATTAATGATTATATTACGTGTTAAAAATATTGTTTTTTAACTTAACTTTTAAAAAGTTTTTCAAACTATGCATACCAATCTCCCGAAAAAAATCAGAAAAAAACATTTCATAGGTTGTTTTTTACAAGACATAATTAAGTACCCTTTAACTAAATAGGGTCAACTAGCAGTATAACCAGCACTGCTCTATTTCAATTAATAAAATGAGTAAAATTAAATGAATGCAATTCTCGAGTAAAATAACCTTTAATATAAACGGTTTAACACATTTTGAAAATATTATTATAAAATATATTTATTTCTTATTTCTTCTCGAAGTCTGTATGTATTTGTTTTAAATTATATTATAGTTTATCATAAATATATTATATTCAATACTTAATACTTATATTCAATAACATCAGATAGCAAATGGTATTTACAAGTGATTTTGAATTCGATACCGACGCGTGTAGTGT